AGTCCCGTACGTCCGTGCCTGACTCCAGCCTTCCGCAGTCATTGTGCGGTTGCAGCATCCCTTTAACTTGGGTCTGAGGCAGAGGAGGAAGATAAAGAACTTGATAGAACATTTATGGTAATAGCTGTAAAGGGAGAGCTGGAGAGCAGTGGATTTCACAGCCAGAAAAATCTCAGCTCGGGGAAATGGGTCTGAAATACGACTACAGATGGTTTTCGTCTCTTGCTTCCCCTGTTTAAATAAAAGGATTGCTTTTCTCACCTTTATTTAAAACACATGTGTAGAAGATGAAAGTGTCCAGCTATTTTTTTATTATTCAGTCCACCAGCTACCGACATCTTTGCCTTATTTCATTTCAACACTAATGGCATAGTGAAAGTTCTGAAACACCCTCTTTGGATCCAGCCTTCCTTGGGTCGCAGCAAAGATTCCTGCTGCAGGCAGAGCTGTTGCTGTTGTTTTCGTCATCAGCACTTTCTTTCTGCTCTTGAACCTGGTGCTACTAATTGTGTTGCTGCTTCTGCTCTTTAATTGATCCCATTCACCGCTCCCGCTTTTGTAACGTCTGACTTCTTGTCACTTCGGCAAATCAAAAACCCAAATTAATCAATCTCCAGCCACTTGAGAATAAGGCCGTGTTGGGGAGCTGGGCTTGACAAAAAAGTCTAATTTCACTTTGAAAGCCTGTTGGAAAATTTTAACAAGAAGATGCAAGAAAAATGTAAACCAGATCAAGCTCGACTTTGGTCTGCGGAGAATAGCGTCACCTGTTGAGTTTGTTTCAAGTTTTTGTAAATAGGTGATTTGACAAAAATATGAAATAAATCAAAAGACACGAAGATAGAAGGGGTCAGAATATCCTTGGTTCCACTGCAGATGGTTACACAGGAGAGAGGGTTGTGTCTGTGTGAGAGAGAATAGGAACCGTGGGCCAACGACGACGCTCCGCTCTTGGACTTTTGTATCCCAGCCTTTGTGCTGTGCTATTCCCGTACCTTACGTGTTGTCTCTTTTCCTGCTTTTTTGCACCCCCAGCTCCTTTACCCTGGCCTGGGGTGCTCACACTGGCTTATTATCCCTTGTTTCCTTGGCCTGCGTGGTTCCAGCGCTGGCAGGTGCTGCGGGTGGGGAAGGGGACATGGCTTTGAGTCACACCTCGGATGGGCTTGGTGCAGGTGCTTGGGAATTTGGGAGGCACATTAGTTGTTACTCTGTGCCAGGGCACAGAGGAAGCACAAGCTGGGTTTGGATGGGGTTCCAGACAGGTAGAGGTTGGGATTGTTCAGCCTGGAGAAGAGGAGGCTCCTGGGAGACCTTAGAGCATCTTCCAGTGCCTCGGGAGGATCCAGGAGAGCCAGAAGGGGACTTTGGACAAGGGCCTGGAGTGAGAGGCCAAGGAGGAATGGCTTTACACTGCCAGAGGGCAGGGTAAGGTGGGAGGGAATTCTTCCCTGTGAGGATGGTGAGGCCCTGGCACAGGTTGCCCAGAGAAGCTGTGGCTGCCCCATCCCTGGAAGTGTCCAAGGCCCAGTTGGATAGGGCTTGGAGCCACCTGGGCTAGTGGATGGTGTCCCTGCCCATGGCAGGGGGTGGAACTAGATGGGCTTTGAGGTCCTTCCAACCCAAATGATTCTGTGATTCTGTGACATGGCTCATGTCAGCTCTCCCTTACAGCTGAGGGAGTTAGTAACTGTGTTGGGAAGGAGAGGAAAGGGCAGGCATGGGAGGAAGGCTCCCTGGCTGCTGGGAGAGGGCATGGGCCTGTCTAGCTCTCTCCTGTAGGTCACAGACAGCAGCACACGTGGGCTGAAACACGAGGATGCTCTGTTTTGGAGGAGGAGGTGTGTTTCAGGCAGGAGTTATTGCACATCCCTTCAAAACACGGCCCAGCAGCTGCAGAGCCGAGGATGTGCCGGTCAGGACAGCCCCAGCTCCGTGGCAAGGGGAGAGTTTTGTCCTCAATGTCGTGTAATAGAGCTCTGCACCCTGCAAATGATGACCATCATCAAGGGAAGCTGTGCCCGTACAGTCCATCAAAAGCCTCAGAGCTAATGATGGGCTGGGCAGATAATCGGGGGAGAGTTAATTGTAAGGTTCGATATGGCATCTTGTCAGCAGAGATAAGTTGTCACGTTTTCCACTTGAGCTGAAACTAAATGATTGTAAAATAAGTTATGAGTGTCCTTGGGCCTGTCTGCCAGAATGATGGCTAAGAATACATTCCTGGCCCATCAGTCTCAAGCAGCCCGCTTGATATTTATGCGAGCTGAATGTTATTTTATTCCCCCTCTAGTCATGCTTGTCAGCCTCCCGAGTGAAAAGTGAAACTGCTGCTTTGACTCATACTTCAAGTATTGAAGCTCGGAGAGGCTGCAGATTGTTATTATTATTACCAGTATTATATATTTTTTCGGGTGTGTGTTGAACATTGATGCCCGATTGGGAAGAACTAATGGCTGACATTGAGCGTGCGGGATGGCTGGAAAACAGCCCATCCCAGCCCAGTGAAACGCAGCTTATGAGTTCCAGTGCCTCTGTCAAAGCTGGTTGAGATGGGGAGTAATGAGGCGCTTGCTTTTTTAATTTGCCATGCCTTTTCCTTGCCTTTTTTTTTTTTTTTCTTTTTTCCTTTTCCCCCCTTCTTTTCCCTCCTCCCCCCCATATTTAATAGTGCCGGCAGTGGCCGTCTGTTCTCAGGCGTGGTAATTGATACCAAATAAAATGCATTATTTGTATTCAGTCAGGAGGATGAAATTGCATTCAGCGGGCTGAAGCCTGAACTCATTTACAGTTTCCCGAAGCCCGGGCTTTCAGGAGCCCTCTTTTCAATTTGAAGAATACCTTGTCAGGCAAGGGAAGGAGCGGGGAATGGGGGAGCGCAGCGTGCGAGCCCGGCGCCTTTTGATTGCTCATATTTTAAACCGGGGGAACGTTAAATAACTCCCACCTTCAGAGAGTGGTCTGGGAAACCATGGGCAGGGACACCTTCCACCAGCCCAGGGTGCTCCAAGCCCCGTCCAGCCTGGCCTTGGACGCTCCCAGGGATCCAGGGGCAGCCACAGCTTCTCTGGGCAACCTGTGCCAGGGCTCTGAGAAACTGTGTTAGGTGTGAGCAAACCTCCCCTTGCTGATGTGCTCTGCTCTGTCCCCGTGATATTTAGGTATTTTCTGGATTTTCACAAGCAGGTGGAAATCAGTGAGATGCCTTTTGATGCCCCGTGGCAGACCTTGGTGCCACAGCCAGGTCCCTTCCTCACCAGTCTGGACTCAACACAGGAATGTTCACATCATTGCTGCAAAGAAGGGGGTTTTGTTGAAGGGGGGGGAGGTGTGGTGGTTTCTCCTGCTTTTTAATTATCAACATAGGAAACCTTCAGAATCAGGCTGGAGGTCAGTATTTAGGACTAGAAGTCACACCCAGTTGCTTCCATGGTCATGCTGGCATCCTCTCCTGCATCACCTCTTCCTTCAGCAACAAGGTGCCAGGGTTTGCATTGGCATGGAGACAGCAAACCCTCCAGGAGGGCCATTTGTGGGTCACCATTTATGGGTCAAACCCTTAGAATCTCCTATACAGGTACACAGTAAATACATTCCCGTGGTTCCCTTTGGGGGTTAAATACCTGAGGACTGGTTTGAATCTGGTGGATGTAGGGAAAAGAACAAATATCCTTAATGAAAGGATTAATGTTTGGTTTGGTCTCTCTTGCCAGGCAATTAGCTACATAATTTATCCCCCACTAATAACTTACAGCACAACTGTGCTTAGGGGGTAATTAGTAAATAAACTTTATTATGAGAGTGGGGAAAAAAAAAGGCAAATAAGTTGGTTTTTATCAAATAGGCAGCTGTGTGGGAATTTAACTGTACCAAAATAAAAAAACCCTAAAAGCTGCTTTTTAAATAATCTGATATTTTTGTAACATATTAATTAAACTTAAGTCAAATGCTGATACTGCACAGTACTTAAACAAGGTTCTGAAAATGGCTTCACTTTCCATGACAGCAAACACTTTCCTTAAAGTGTAGCTTTTATGTGAAGTTTTATAATTAAAATCACAACCAGACCAGTAATTAAACAAAAATCATATTACCAACCTTGAGGGAAAATCCTGGATTAAGGTTGCTTGAGTATTTACTGTGTGAAAGGACCCAGCTGGAGAAATTTCAAGTACACCTTAACTTCCTAAATTTGTGTTAAATTTGGCTGTTTGTTTCGTGATTGAAAATAAGAGCTACTCAAAGAGAAGTTAGTTGGTGTATGACCACCCATTCCATGGGCCAGGGAAGAGACTGTGTGTCTCTGCTCGTGAGAGGGGGGTGTCATCTACCTTTAATTTTGATTTGGTCGAGTCAACTAATGGGTGGGCGAGGGGAGAAAACGACTCTCATTAAGTCTTAAAATGATTGGATGTTGGGCTACCAGAGCTAATACAGCAGGAAACTGAGCACACTAAACATGGGCTTATTTTCTTTCCTTGGCAGGAGGTAGGAAGTGACCCTTTATCGCAGTTATCACCTGTACCAGGTGCACATCGGTCACCTCGTTTGCCCACCTTCATTGCCATCACCTCCTTTTTGGTGTGTCTGGTATTAATGACAGTAGGTGCATCCAGAGGGTGTGGGGGTACCCCTGGTCCATTATGTATTAAAATGCCCAAGTGTTACAGGGGCAGGATCAGGAAGGTCTCTGTAAGAAAGAGCAATTGGAAGGAATAAGGAGCTTTCCCATTGTTTTTTGTGCATTCCAGCTGGGCTCCTTCAAAAATCGATATGGAGTCCTGTTGATGGAGTAGGGCTTGAATCAGCACTTCAGCCACGTTGCTTTTCTGTACAGTTTTGAGAGCATGATGGGTTGTTGTTGGGAGCCTTTGGAAGCCACCGAGCTCGAGAACGTGACAGGCAGCGAGGGGTCGTACCTTGGACTGTAGCGATCGTCCCATTTCAATCGCGCAGTGGTTTTTAGTTCCCTCTCCTTGTCTTCCCCCACCCAACTGCAGATACGGGCCTGGGAGACTCTGTGTGCTCGAGCCCCAGCATCTCCAGTACGACGAGCCCCAAGCTGGACCCCCCCCCTTCCCCTCACGCCAACAGAAAGAAGCACCGGCGGAAGAAAAGCACAAGCAACTTCAAAGCCGACGGCATCTCGGGCACAGCCGAGGGTAAGTCCGCTCCCTGGGGCAGGGCTCAGCTCCCAGAGCACCGGTGCAAGGGGTGCTGCTCGCTCAGCTCCACCAGCAGCTCCGATTCCACCAGGGAATTGTGTACTGCGGCGGGGGAATTAAAGACCGGGCTTTTAACGGCGGAGCTGAATCGTCTTGAGGCATCACAATGGCGAATTCAACTGCCTTGAAACGTGTTTGGAAAGGGCTTCTTTTAATAAATAAGAGTCCCCAAGTTAAAGTGGAGCGTCATTAGGTGTAAAGGTAAGGAAGAGGCAAACTTGGAAGGTTAACAAGGAGGAAAAATTCAGGTTCGCTCCGTAGATCGCGTTAGAACTTGTTGTATTTTTTTTTTTCAGTATTATTAAGTCTTGTGTTACCACATCTCCTTAGGCACATCCTGAGCTCTAGAATCACCAACACTTCTGATGCCTCTTATTGTCTGAATATTCAGCTGCTCGTGGAAAGCTTGTGTTATTTGAGGATAAAAGGGAAAAGGGGAGAGTTTAAATGTTTGGGTTCTTTTTTTTTTTTTTTTCAGAGCCAGAAAGCAAAAGGCAGAAAGAACTTCCTTTTTTTTTTTTTCCCTTAGTTTAGCTTACTGTTTCCAACGTGAACACTGCTCTAGCTGTTCAATGCCCTTCTGAAGGGGTAACAATGTGTACAGGAGCCAGGTATGATATAAAACATGCTTGTAGCTTTAGAAAAGAAGAAAAGAAACATGCCAGGATTCAACCAAAAGAGCTCCAGAAAAAAAAAGGATGAACAAGGGTAGTTGGAAGGCTCAGAAACTGGGGAGTCAACACACATAAGGAGAGATGAAAAACGGAGACAATGGAATAACATTGTGGGAAAAGGGGAGTGTTGAGTAAGAAAAAGATGTGGTTGTAAGCATGGGAGAGTAAAAAACAGCTAATTCAGTATCAAAGAGGATTGGAGCAGGTTCTGAAAAAAAGATGACAATTGCAGACAGCTGAAGAGACATTAAAAATAGATGTGATAATAGTATACAACTGAGAAGGGGCATGTTAACTACTACTTAGTCATCCTTATTTTCCATTTATTTAATTTCTCAATTGCGCTTCTCTCACATCCGGAATTTATTTCCCCAGCTATCTATACAAATCCTTTTTTAAAAAGCCATCAGCTTTTTTTTTTCACAACAGCCCCTGTTGTGTTCTCTTTCCAGTCATTTAACTATCTTTGCTGTTAGTTTCCCCCTAGTTTATGGCCTGAAGCCAAATTTTAGTTCAACCTTTCATTTTTAATTTGCCTTTTTTTTTTCTTTTTTAAACAAGCTCTTTTACACCACTTATTTTCATACCTCAATGGCAAGTTACAGAGGGGATTTTTCAGAGCAGTCACCATTGGTCCAAGACTATTTTGTTGAAGTCAATGTGAATCAAGACCAGCTGGATATCAAGAGCCTTTGAAAACCTCTTTCTAAGTAGTTAATAGGTGTATGTTTTCTTTCTCCTGGGGAGATTATTTTCACAAGTCACTGGAGCTGGAGCCTGTGTGGTCCTGGGCTGTAGGGGGGGTCTGCAGTTGTGAATCTTGTCCCTGATGTCCCTGTTCTGACTGGAGTGACGAGTACATCCCTCATCCTCCTCTGTTTGCCCTTCCTCTTCTCCTTGTCTTCCAACATCACACCATGTTAGTCTGAAATCCTTCTGCAATAACTCAACAAAATGGTCCCCTCTCATAGGAGTGGGATAAATGTGCTTCCAGAAGGGCTGACAGGCAGCAACTAAGTGAGACATGGGGAGCCTTAAAAGTGGTAGAATCATTTAGGTTGGAAAAGCCCTCTAATCGTTCCCCCAGCACTGCCAAGCCACTAAACTGTGTCCCCAGGTGTCACATCTACAGGTCTTTTAAATCCCTCCAGGGATGGGAACTCCACCACTTCCCTGGGCAGCCCCTTCCAGTGCCTGACCACCCTTTCCAGGGAGAAATTCCTGCTGATGTCCAACCTGACCCTCCCCTGCTACACCTTGAGGCCATCTCCTCTCCTCCTGTCCCTGTTCCCTGGGAGCAGATCCTGACACCTCCCCATCTCCCCCCTCCTGGCAGGGATTGCAGAGCCAGAAGGTCCCCCTGAGCCTCCTTTTCTCCAGGCTGAGCCCCCCCAGCTCCCTCAGCCCCTTCCCCAGCTCCCTTCCCTTCCCTGGATGTGCTGCAAGAGTGAGTGCCAGCACTTGCTTGTACAGTCTTTGTACCTCTGCACGAGCCCATCGGGTTCCTCTGACCTTCCTCCTCTCACACATTTTCTGAGATGAGCTCTCTGGGGTGTTTGGGGCCTGCAGGTGTGCCTTGGGTGGGCCGCAGTGGTTGTTAACTTCTTTATTTTTGTGACATCTCCTTTCAAACGCAGCCCAGTGAGAAGCACGGGGTTTGGCCGCAAGAACACCACGGTGTTCTGGGCATCCTTCAGCACACAGCTCATCTGAGTGGTCCTTGAGTGCTCAGGGAGGCCGGGAGGAGGGGGCTGAGGGAGGAGGCGACAAGCTGTGCTCCAGCTCCTGTCCTTCCAGGAGAAGAGCGTCTCACAAAGAGGGATGGTGGCTGTGGATTCCCAGAAAGTAACACTCCAGCAAGGCTCACAAAGTCTGGGGGTCACCCTTTCCAAACCCTGGCACGTGTGGGCACTCGGCAGCCTTTGTGTTTTCTGACCAGATCCACAGAGCCATTGGGGTTGGGAAAGCCCTCTGAGATCTTCGAGTCCACTGTTAAGCCAGCCCTGCCAAGGCCACAACAACCCTAGGAAGGTACATTTGGTGTGTTTGTGGTTGTCCAGACACTGTTCATATCCCTGAGTCAGGTTGGATCTCAGGACAAGGCTCTTCCCCCAGGGGGTGGCTGGCACTGAACAGGCTCCCCAGGGCAGTGGGCACAGCCCCAAGGCTGCCAGAGCTCCAGGAGGGTTTGACAACACCCTCAGGGACAAGGTGGGATTGTTGGGGTGTCCTGGGCAGGGCCAGGAATTGGACTGGATGGTCCTTGTGGGTCTCTTCCAGCTCTGGAATTCTATGATTTTCACATCTGTCTTGTACTTCAAAGCAGCTTTCAGCTCAGTAGTCCAGCCTTTCCTCAGGAAAAGGCTTATTCCCTTAGTTCCCCAGCGTGCAGCTGCAAATCTGTCCAGTGACCTAAAAGATTCCCTTATGGATTTTTTTCTTCCCCCACACTTGCCTCGAGCGTAGATTTCCACCCTGGAGGAGGTTTTGAAGAGCGCGAATCCAAACTAAGCAGTCAGAGATGTTTCTGGGAGATGCATTTGTTTTGCCTTGGTGACTTTGAGGTGCAGCAGGTGACTTGAAAAGGGTGCTGAAGATGGGCTTTGGGAGCCTGTGGTGATAATCATGGGAGAGCTGTATCGTCCTTCCTTCTGGAATTGCTGAGCTCGGCGCGCAGAGGAGGAGCAGGAGGATCCTCCTGCAGTCGCTGTTCTCGGGCAGGTGCAGCGGATCAGAGTTGAGTGGTGGGGGTAATTCTAGATTTTCGTGTCGCCTTCCTCTGGCTCCGGGCACGTTTCAAGTGTCAGCCTTCAAACCAACAGGAATTCTGGGTTCCTTCATTTTTGTCTGTACCAAAGCTGAGGTTGTTCAATGAGGGTTTAAATCTGGTCTTCAGCAAACTCGAGCATTTTTACTGCACTTTGCAGTCTTTTCTTCTCCTCCTTGAACGTGCCTGCTTTGATCATTGACCTCTGCCCAAGTATTCAGATATCACGATGATGGACACTGAGCTCAGGGTGATTCACCAATTCCAAGGACTGATGCTCATCCCTTTTATGCCCTTCCATAAAGGTCGTGCTGATTCTTCTTTCTCCACACTATCTGCACATGCACAGCCCTCTCTTTCTGGGATGGATTCTTTCATCTCACTTGGTTTGTCTTTCTGCAGGTTTTCTTAGACGATGGTCACAGCAACAAAAATACTAAAGCAACTGTGCTGCAGTTGGATGAAAATTAAAATTCAGTTCCTATATTGGAAAATCAGATTCTTGTGAATTTTCTATTTTTTTTTTTTTTTCCAACGCAGTGAAACCCAGGGAGAAGTTTTTTTAGTTCTCTGTACAGAACTTGTCACTGACAAAAGTCCCTCGGTGTTTTTGAGGGTAACAGCGGGAATGCTTACATTAGGCAAGGTGCCAGCAACCAGCAGGGGTTTTTTCCCACCATGCTGCCTAAACTTGCTCGGAGCAGGATTAGACAGTGCTATGTTTCAAAGAGGAATAGCTGCTCAGAGCCTGATCTGTTTTGGTACCCTTGTGCTGCTGCAGTTGCTGGAACAGCCAGTGATAATAGGGAAGATTTTTCAGCTTGAAAACTAGTAGAACAATTAAAACAGCTCTCTTGGATAATACTTTTCACAGGAAGACCTTTCCCAGTGTTTATTTTCTTTACTCTTACTAGTTTTAAAGCTTCATAGCTAAGCCACTTGAACCTGCCTTCCCTCCACCCATCACTGAGATTTTTAGGAGCTGTGGGAAGCCCAAGGTGTGTCTGTCTTTTGATGCTGGGATCATCCATGCTCTGCGAGTCTTCCATTGACAAAGAGCTCTGTCCCTTGGGGCCAGTGTTGCTGTGGGGCCAGCCTGGCCACATCCAGGTGGATGGGAACATCCCCTCCTTCCCTCAGGGAGCCCATGGAACCCCAGGATGGTTTGGGCTGGGAGGGACCTCAAAGCCCATCTCTTTCCATCCCCCTGCCATGGGCAGGGACACCTTCCACCAGCCCAGGTTGCTCCAAGCCCCATCCAACCTGGCCTTGGACACTTCCAGAGATCCAGGGGCAGCCACAGCTTCTCTGGGCACCCTGTGCCAGGGCCTGCCCACCCTCCCAGGGAGGGATTTCTGCCCTCTCTCAGCACCATGGGCAGAGCACCCCCAGCTCCGTGTTCCCAGGGAGGTGGGACTTGGTGACAGAGTAGTAAATGTCACCAGCAACTTTCCAAACTCCATGTTTTCTCTGAAATCCACCTTCTTCTTCATCAC